CAAGGATCAATCCGTGGGTGTGACGGGGAAGGCTGTAAGAGGCACAAATAGGGCAGCGAACAGTGCTTCAAATGAGAGAGAAATAATCCCTCCCCCCCCCCAGATACAGAGCCAGGAAAAATAGGGGACACTCCCGGGGAGGGGAGACCACAATGAGCACCAATTAGCACTTCCAAATAATGTGGCTAAAAGATGGGAACCCAGGAGTGTGTGTGTGTGTGTGTGTGGTAGCACTTCCAAATAATGTTGCTAAAAGGTAGGAACCTAGCAGGTGTGTGTGTGTATCTGTGTATCTGTGTCCTAGCAGGTGTGTGTGTGTGTGTCCATGCCTGGGGGTTGAATGGCTGCTGCTAGGAGTGAGGCTACGTGTAGCGCCTCATTATGCCCGTCTACGAGTTTGTAGTTTCAAAAAGCCCCCCCCCCCCTCGGGGAGGGTGGGGAGAGTTCTTGGACAAAAGTTAGTCCTGGGAGCCGTGTGGCCGGGGGCAGGGCGGGGTTGTCTGCGAGGCCTCGGTGACAATGAACTTGAGACGTGGGCTCATCAGCATGCAAGAGGGTGGCTCCCAAGTTCAGGGGGACCTGAGTTCCCATGCAGGCTCAGAGACACAGTGAATTCATTATGCATTTTCTACGGACCGTTAGATTTCTGCTGCCTTTCCGCGGGAGCCGGGGAATCTACCCTGGAAACCAGACTGGAGAGAGACCACAAAACAAACACAAACAGAGCAGGCCCTTCCCCAGCCAGTAATTTATTTACACGGTGCAAATCTCCTCCCTCCTCCCATCAGAGGGAAAAAATCAAACCGCGGAGTCCTCCCCCACAATCTCTCTCTCTCGCTGTCTTTCACCCTCCCCCTACCCCGAGAGACAAAGTTTTGCAAAACCAGGGGTACCGACCCCCTCCCTCACCCCACCTCACCCCAGTCTAGACTTTCAATCTAGTGCTTCCTTTTCCTTTATTCAAAGCAACTTGCTGGAGATGTGATTATTATGCTAATGCTCACTCCCCCCTCCCCATACCCCACCAGCCCCCCCCCCCCCCT